CCCCAAAACCCCAAAACCCCGTTAAATGAATCTATATACAGAATTGAATTAAGAGTAATTCAGATTAAAATTATAATAATATTTTTTATTGCAAATATGATTGATTGTCTTGAATTGCTAGCTTTTACAATAGGGATATTAATATTTCTGAGACAATTTTGGAGAATACTTGTTGTAATATCAAGGCTTTATTTTGGCACAAAAGTAACCACTTAAAGATATGGAGAAAATAGTTGGGCAATTGTAACTGGAAGCACTGATGGAATAGGCAAAAGAATAGCGATAGAGCTAGCTAAAAGAGGATTTAATATAGTATAGATAGCAAGAAACCCTGAAAAACTATAAGCTGTCTCATAAGAAATATAATAGAAACATAACAGGCAGACAAGAGATATAGTTTTTGACTTTGGTAAAGACGTCACATTTAAATCTTACCAAGATCTTATCCAAAGAGTAGCCGATTTAGATGTTTCAGTTGTAGTCAATAATGTTGGCATGTGCAACGATCCTAATAAGTTCGAAAACACTTTGCCAAAAGATCACCTAAATGAATGCATCGTAAATTGCTATCCAATGGTGATGTTTACTAAAGTTGTAATCGACAAACTTAAGCAAAGATATGCAGAGAAAAAATTGAGAACTCTGATATTAAATGTGTCATCACTTGCAGTGAACATACCGTAGTCATATCTTGCATCACAATGTGGCACTAAGATGCTATGTGATAGATTTTCCAAATCATTAAACTATGAAATGAGAGGAAGTGGAATAGATATGTTGACACTTTAACCTGGTATGGTATCTACCAACAGAACTGGATTTGAGGCAACTAAATAAGGAGTAGTGACGCCAGAGTAATGTGCTGTTGGGGCATTAAATAATGCTACTAGTTTTGAAACATTTGGCACATTTAGTCATGAAATTATGAATTTGTTCGTTTTGAATTTGATCATGGATTTTATACCTTGGAAATATGTTATGATTATTTCTAGGAAAATTGGTGAAAATCTAGTTTTTAAACGAAAACAAGCTTGATTTTATTCTGATATCAAAATTATTGTGCAATTTTTAATTAAATTGTTCCAATCATTATAGAAATAATCTGCTTTCGGGGTTTTGGGGTTTTGGGG